TTTGCCTCCTGGCTGTTGCTCTCCTATATAGTCCTTCCCACATGGAATAGGGCTGACCTGTGAAACCAATAGGATATTGCCAAAATGATGGAGTATGACCTCCCTAGTTAGGTCACAAAAGACACTGTGACTTCCTGCTTGCTTTTTCTCTCCCCCTCTTGGATGGGGAAAGCTGGCTGCCATGTCATAAGGACACTCAAGCAGTCCTGTGGAGAAATCTGTGTGGTGAAAAACTGAGTCATCCTGCCAACAGCCAATATGAACGTGCCAGCCATGTGAGTGAGCCAACTCAAACCCTCCAGCTGCAGTTAAACCTTCAGAAGACTACAGCCTGGCCAGCATCGTGACCCAACGAAGTTGCTCCCAAATTCCTAGCTCACAGACAATGTGGGGGATAATAAATATTTGTTGTTGTTTTGAATTTGGGGTATTTTGTTATGCAGCAATAGGTAATTAATACCCTTAGGTAACATTGTCATCCCCATTTTATAGATGAGGAAATTGAGGCACAGAGAGTTCAAGTAACTTGTCCCAGATCACACAGTTAACAAGTGATTTAAACCATGGCGGTTTGGATCTGTATAAAGTTCATGTAATAAATTAGAATCCCTTTTACAGGAATGAAGACACTGCTGGGAAAGAGAGAGAGAGAGAGGGAAACACAGGGACAGTGGCAAAGAGAAGTTGGCAATTGGTTCCCAGTACAGCATAACAGACTTAGGCTAGACTTCTGTAAAGTGATGATAGTGGACAGTGGGAGAGCTCTGCTGCCCTTGCAGCTCAGCTGTGATCAGCTTGGGGCCACTGGTCTCTGTCCCTGGCTGCGTGGTTGACGCAGCCTTGGATACCTCGGGGTGGGGGTGTGATGCCTGTGGGCAGCCCCTCTCTGGGGCTCTTATCACCCTGCACTGACACTGTCTGCTCCCAGACCAGAGATCCTCAAGGGCAGGGATGGAGTCTTGCTCATCTGTGTCCCTTGCCTGGTGCAAGGCCAGTCAGAGCAGGCTGGGGGAGGTGTATATGCAGAAGGCTCTCTGGCCCTGGCCCTGGAGAGAATTCGTATGGTCACACTACCCTTTAACAAATTATCACTGGGGACCCAGAAGGGACCAGGATGACCCAGTTTCTGACTTGAGCAGCTCCTTATTGGATGGAGGATACAACAATGATAGCCCAGTGCGATCAGAGAGATTGGGACGCGGCGTGTTGTGGGAGGCCAGAGGGGTAGGGAGGACCTCTCTAGAGGAGGCCTGAGGACTTCCCAGAGGAGGAGGAATGTGAGCTGAGGCCCAAAGGATGCACAGAACTCAGCCAGCGCAAGACAGTTCTCAGCAGAGGGTACAGCCTGGCAGAGGCCTGAGGCCTGAGGCTCCCTTGGAGGACAGGGTGAGGGAGTAGAATGTGCAAGGGGTGGGCCACTGGCCTCTGGTGGCTCTTAAAGCAGGACACAGAGACTTGGGATGGGCAGGGTGACATGCTGACAGCAGCTGGAATGTCACCTGTTTCTGTCTCGTGGGGAATTCATTGCACTTGGGGTTGGGTTTGAGGGTTTTCTTTGGAAACCCAGGACTGGGCGAGGCCTGTATGCTTGAGTCAGCCCAGGATGGAGAGAGAGGACAGGTGAGGACAAGAAGTCACTTGGGAACAAGTTGTACAAGGACCTCAGTGTCCATTTGGTGTGCGGTGTGTGTCAAAGCTTTCTTCATTTGCCCTTCACTAGATTAACCAACTTAGGTGCCCTGAAAAATTCCCATTTCTGCCCTCTGGGTTCAAATGCTAGGCCTGCCATTTACTAGCTGTATGACCTCCCCACCCCTTAGTTTGCTCATCTGTAAAATGGTATCAACATAAAACCTGCCTCATGGAGATGCTGTAAGGACTAAATGGGTTAAAGTGTTTAAAACACACCTAGATGGTGCTTGACCCCCTCCCCACCTCCAGCAAGTGTACAATAAGTATTAGCTATTATTATTACTTGATATGGTTTTCCTTTTAACCTTTTCAAGGATTTAAACATCATTTATCTAATGCCTGTTATATGCCAAGCCTTGTATCTATCCTCTGAAAATAGGGATGAATAAGACATAATCCTCCTAGGCATACAGAAACCATGGTAAAGGCAACAACAAACAAACGTTGATCAAACGTGCCCTGTAGGAACCCAGAAATGCAGGAGAGCTGGCTCCTGTCCTCAGGAAGGTCACAGGCTGACTAGGGAGAGAGAGAAGTGGTCCAAATTGGGTGGGGGCTAAGAGGAGCCTGGAGAACCTCCAATGAGGGGGTTTTCGAGAGACAAGGAGTTGCCCACTTTGGCAGCTGGATGTGTGTCGGACAGTGTGAGCAAAGACCCCCTTGGAGGTGAGGTGAAGGAAGGCTCAGTCTTTATTCTCTGAGTGTTAGGAGGTTATCAGGGGTTTTTGACAGGGAATTATGTTTGAATAACAGTAACATAACTAATAGCTATTATGCACCTACAGTACAGTGCATGCTGCGCATCTCCTCTAATGTCATCCTCACACCCTTGTGAGGTACTGTCACCATTCCCATTTTACAGATAAAAAAACTGAGCCACAGAAGTTAAGTGAGTTGTCCAAGGTCATGTAGCTAGGAAGGGAAGGAACAGACTTAAACTCAGGTAGTCTAACCCAGAGCCCATGCTCTTAATCTCTCTACCCTGCTGCCTCCGAACTTTAATCTACACAATCTTAAAACTAGAATAGACCTTTGGAATTCTCCATCTCTATTTTGCAGAAGAGAAACTGAAGCTCAGAGGTGGGAACTGACTTTCCTTGAGACCACAGAGTGAAGGAGGGGCTGAGATGAAGCAGTCAGTCTTGGTTGCAGGAAGGGCTCCAGAGTCCCAGGCATCCTGCTGTCACAGTGGCCATCGTTGTACTTGGAACAAAATCCAAACCTCCTGCTGGGGCCTACAAAGCCCTCATGTGATCAGAACCTTGCTGACTCTGACCTCGCCTGGTCACCCAACTTCTCCTCACCGAGCTCCAGCCCAACTCAAGGCCTCTGTCCTGCTGGTCCCTTTGCCAGGAATGCCCTTACAGCCAATCTTCCTATGGTTGGGCTCCGTCTTAGTCCATATGGGCTGCCATAACAAAATATCATAGATTGGGTGGCTTAAAAACAACAGAAATTTGTTGGGAGCCTGAGAAGTCCAAGATCGAGGCCCTGAAAGATCAAGATGCCAGCAGATTTGGTGTCTGGTGAGAGCCCACTTCCTGTTTCATAGATGACTCTCTTCTCGATGTGTCCTCACATGGTAGAAGGGGCCAGAGATCTTTCTGGGGCCTGTTTTATAAGGGCACTAATCCCATTTATGTCCTAATTGACTCCCAAAGACCCTACTTTCAAATACCCTCACATTTGGGATTAGGTTTTAACATATGAATTCTGGGAGGACAAAAACATTCAGTCCACAGCAGGCTCCTTCTTGCCATTCAGCGAAATGTCACCTCCTCAGAGAGGCCTTCCCTGATCACCTCTCTAAAGTTACCTCCCATCACTCTCACATCACCCTACTTTATTTTTTCCATAGCAGTTATGATGATCTGAAATTATTATCATTTCTTGTTTGTTTGTTTTCTTGCTTTTGTGTCTGTCTCTCCCAACTAAGATGTAAGATGTAGGAGAGCAAAGAGGGACGTCATCTATTTCTACACTGTATCCCTGGGCAATGCCTGGCACATAGGAGGTGCTCCATAAGTTTTTGTTGAAAGCATGCTTGCATTTCGTTGTCTGTCCGTTGATAGTCTGTCTCCCCACCAATCAAGCTGGTACCATGTCTGATTCACCTTGGCACTCCTAGGCCCAGGGTTGGCACAGAGCAGAGCTGGGATGTGCTTGTTGGATGACCGAATTGCTAAGGGGCTGCCCTCTGTGGGAAGAAACAAGGCTCAGTAACAGGACTGCCGATGAGACAGAGTGGCTTCCAGGCCTGAGACTAACAGCTCCTGAAGCCCCTTCTTCTGCCCCTCTGCCATGGATGTGAGGCAGCAAGAGAGGAGGGGAGGGTGGACCTACACTGGGCCTAGCCACCTTCCAGTCTGTCTCTTTTAGTGGCCAGTGCCCTCAAAACTCATTGTCCAAAAAGCCTGGGCTGGTTGGGCCTTGCTTACCAGCAGGTAGCTAAAATCTAGTCACCTGTACCCTGGCATGGATGAGATGGGGCTGAGACCTTCCAGGGGAGAGGTCTTATTCATGCCAGCAGAAGCAGACAGCAGCCCTGGGTGTGCGTCCCCTATTAGCAGGGATGAGGCGTCCCTTCTGTGGGGTCCCACAGTCTCTGCCCTTCTCCATCACAGCAAGGACTACCCTGTCGCCCCTGCAGCTCCCCCTGGTTGTCTGCCCCCTGCCTGGCCCACCAGAACACTGAGTGAGAATGAATGGATCAAGTTTGGGCGCCAGGCCCAAGCCACCTGCCTCACATCCTTGGCCGTGGGAATTCTCACATGAGAATGCAACATAGGCATGTTAACCAGCTACACAGATGTGTAACATCTGGGTTGGAGTCTTGGAGGGGTGCAGAGGTTCATTCCTGCTCCCCCAGCTTCTCCCTGATCACACGAATCCTGGCACCCCAATCCCTGTCCACTACCATCCCTGCTCCGTGTGCACATGCCCAGGCCTGTGCACCCGGGAACATCATCTCCCCTCCCGTCCAGGTTCACTCCTAGGCCTCCCTCAGCCACCTATCAGCATGTCACCTCCTCCAGGCAGCCTGTGCTACTTCCCTTGGGCCGTCTGCCACCTCTGGGGGTAGGGGCCTCGCCTGGCTCATCCCAGCGTCTGCAACGCCCAGCACGCGGCGGGCCTTGAGCAGGGTCACCGAGCACGGGCCTACGGAGAAGTGGACCAAGGGCATGAGGGAGGAGGGAAAGGAGGAGGCAGCGGGAGGAGCGTGGGGCGGAGGCGGCAGCGGGGGGCGGGGGGGGGGGCGCGCGCGCTGGCTGAGGCAGCCCAGGCCTGGGGCCGCGCGCCCAGCCTGAGCCCGCCCCGCCGCCGAGCGTCACGGAACCTGCTTGAAATGCAGCCGAGGAGCCGGGGCTGGCGGCAGCGGCGGCGGCGGCGGCGGCGGGGGCAGCTGCAGCCCCGGCGCCGCGGCAAGGACTCGGAGGGCTGAGGCGCGGCGGCAGCACGGGGTGCGCGGGGAGCGGCGGCCGGAGCCCGGGGCCCGCCATGGGCCGCCCCGAACGGGGCGCGCTCCGGCCGCTGGCGCTGCTGCTGCTGCTGCTGCAGCTCCAGCATCTCGAGGCGGCGGCGGATCCACTGCGCGGCGGCCAAGGTGCGTGCGGCCGTTCCCCGGCCCGGCTTTGCGCCGCCGGAGCGGCCAACAAAGCACGGCCCGGCGGCCGGGGGGCGGGTTGCGCCGGGGCCTCCGAGCCCGGGCCTGGCAGGGAGGCGCCCGGGTGGGATATGCTCCTCGGGACCCAGCTCTCCCTTAATTTGCCCTAGACCCCCGCCCCCACGGCTCCCAGTGTGGTGGGCTCTGCCCTCCGGCACCTGCTCTTGGGGGATGGGCGCCGTGGGGGCCGGGCGGGCCGGGAACTTTGCTGGGGGTGATCACTGATGCTTTCGGGAGGGCTGTGTGATTCTCGCCGTTGGCGTTAATTTGACACGCGCGCTCCGCGGCGGCGATGAGCGGAGCCCGGAGACTACCCCGCCTGACAATGCGTTTCCGGCGACCCTTGCGTGTGGCAGAGAAAGAGGGGCTGCGTGCGAGGCGGATGTGCCCGCAGCGCCCAGTGCGCGTGTCGCGGCGTGTTCAGGGGCTCCCTGTGGGCTGTGTCTGCGTGCATCTCTCACTAAGGGCCGTGTGTGCGGGTGAGTGTTCTGAATGGGGGGCATACCTAAGTGGTGGGACACCGACTGTATGAGCCTGCCACAGAGCAGCCCGTCATCCCAGGAACCCTTACCATCCTGCCCTCCTTCCTGATCGAGGGTGCCAGAGGCCTCCAGGTCGTTGGCTTCAGCATCGGGCCCTCTCCTTCACTCAGTAGACCCCTCCCCGCGGCCGGGATCGCTTGTTCCGGGGATCCGGCTCACGCCCCCTCTCCCCCGCGCAGGGTCGGTCAAGGAGTGCGAAGAGGACCAGTTCCGGTGCCGGAACGAGCGCTGCATTCCCTCTGTGTGGAGATGCGACGAGGACGACGACTGCTCGGACAACAGCGACGAGGATGACTGCCGTGAGTGGCCGGCCGGGGAGGGAGGGAAAGGTGGGGGACTCCTTGCTCAGCGTCCACGTGGCTGCAGCCGCCACCGGGCCACCTGCCTGGACCTTTACTGCCGGAGCCTGCAGCCGGGAACCCTCCCGGGAGCCCCTTCCCTCCAGGCACTTAGGGACCCAGCGGGTTCTGGGCCGGCAGGTCCTGATGGAGCCGGGGGCGAAGCCCGGCGCAGCACGGCCCGGGAGGAGGGCACGCCACGCCCGGGTTGCTGGGCCGGAACTGTGGGGCGGCGACGCGACGGTCCCTGCAAGCGTCTAGCTTTCTGCGATCAGGCCCTCCGGGACTCTTGCCTAGGCCCCACGGAACGCGCTCGTGTCTCAAAGTTCCAGGCAACTCTGGGCCTAGCCTCACTCCTTTTCCTGCTGGGTTTTGTGAATGAATGGGCTCCCCGGGGCCCCTGATTGGCTGTGCGAGGACCACCCCATAGGTCCCTGTGGCCGGAGCCGGCCAATCGTGGAACGGCTGGGTGTGCAGTTTTCTGGCGCCCTTGGCGTTGGGGCCCTGCCCTGGCCCCGCCTTGGCCACACCCCCGCTCCTCCCCTGGGTAGTAGGTGCAGGCGGGGCGCTGGCGCCCGCTGCCTTTCTGCCTAGTCATGGTGAAGACCTTTCTTGTGCCACCCTGGTTGGCCGACTGCGCTCTCCTGCCAGCCAGACTGAGGCATGAGTCATGGGGCAGAGCAGGAAGGAGGGGGCCAGAGGGATGAGCTTGTTTCCTGGAAGGGGGGTGAGGATCCCAAGGCCGCGCGTGAACCCATGGTCACGTGCAGGTGGCCGGCCGCCTTTGCTGAGTGTGGTGTTTGTACACCTGGGCACGACTGCTTTGGAAGTTGTTTCGTGAGGTGCACGTGGTTTCTGATGTCTGTGGGACCTGAGGCGAGTTAGCAAGCAGTTGCCACAAGTGGAAGGAGCATAGTTCCAGGAACAGATAAACAGGACTCTATAAAAACACAGACGCGGGCAGTCATTCATTCATCGTTACTGAGCACCTGCTGTATGCCAGGCACTGGCACACTTTGGAGAACAGGCCCACCCCGCAGGCCAGGGAGTGCAGGTTCTGTGGGAGGAGGGCAACAGGTGGACAGGCCCACAGCACCACGCAGTGGCAAGAGGGGTAGAGAGACCACCTGGACAGGCATTGTCTGTTGAGTTATAGTGTTGTTTTTCGGGGTTTGCTAGTCAGCCCCCAGGTTCATTCTCAGACCAACCCAGATTTGGCTGTGTGACATGGGCGCATCTTTCCCTCCTGTCTCAGTTTCCTCTCCTGACCACTTGGGCTAATGATTCCTGCCCAAGACCAGTTCTAGAAATGTAATTGAAAGTGGTGCGACTACCATGTGCCGACTGTTAGCTGTGTGCCAACCACTGTGGTAAGTGCTTATCTTACATAAGCCCCTGTAACCTTCAGAGCAGTCCTATTTTATACACCAAAACAAACCAAAAAACACAAAACAAAAAAGCCCCAAGGCACTGAGAGATCAAGTTAGTTATTCCACAGCTGTTGAGCTGCTAAGTAGGAGCTTAAATTTAAGCATCTGACTCCAGAGTTCTTAGTCTAATTCTGACCCTAACCATTTCCCAATGCTACTGAAATTCTGAAAATGCCTGAGCCAGGGTAAGATGTGGTAGTGAGTCTCCTCGCCCGGAGTTGTTCTTCTGTGGTTTCCTTACAGGGGGAGTGCTGAGGATGAGGCGAGGAAGTGGAAACTGTGCGTTTCTGGGCTGGTTTTACCTTATCTCCCTGGCTCTGTATAACAACAGTTTTGTTGGGGGGTGGCCGTGAAGAGCATCCCCCTTTGCAGATAAGGACTCTGGCTCAGAGAAGTTGAGTGATTTGCCTAAGGTCACACAGCTGAGAGCGACAGAACTTGGTCAGGGTGTCCACCTGCCTCCTAGCTCAGGGGCACTGTCTGCTCCGGTGGGAGTGTGGTGCAGAAGGACCCAGGAGGGTGATCCGGGCGCTTTTCATCTCCATCGAGGCTCTGGGCAAGATGGAGGAGTGAAGTAGCGGGTGGCTGGGTGACCCCAGATGGGACCAGGGCCAATCTGATGGCCACTCTGGGCTCCAGCTTTCATTCTGAGATGGATGGGGTGGAGTCACAGGCAGAGGGTTAGTGAACAAAAGCAACCGCCGTTGAGGGCTTTGCTGTTGGTGTCAAGTATCGTCCCCCACACTGGGCTTTTCTGGGCTTGTCTTCTCATCTGCCAAATGCGGGGTAGCTGTTCCTCTACCATCGGTTATACCCGTAGCAAGTCTTCACCTGGGGCTGGTGAAGAGAAGGGAATGGATGAGTGTCCACACCACCAAGGTCTTTAGACAGGGACCCCTAGGGGCCACAAAGAGAAATCTTGAAGAAAGGGGTGGGAGCTTTGGGTGACTGTATGAGGCGTGGTGTTGGAAAATGGTCTTTTGTCACCCCTTCCTTCCCTATCTGGGGAGTTCCCTCCATTCCGGGCCACCTGCCCGAGCTGCATTTCTTGGAACCATCCTCCCTGCCTTATATTTGACCACTCCAACCATTCCACCCTGTGAGAGGGCCTGAATCACCCCATCTCTATACCTCTCGGCCTGCAAAATGGGGATTGCCATTTGTAAGTGAAGTCTGTGTGGGGCAAAATGCGTTCAGGCTCCCAAAGGGGACAGAATGCAGACCGTGAATTCCGAGAGCTGATGGAGGTTGGAGGGAGGGAGCTTGTGTGTGGGGGAAACCAAGGAAGGCTTTCTGGAGGAAGAGACAGCTAAGGCAGGCCTTGAAAGACAGTAACTAATGCCATTCCCTCAGAGCTTACCATTTAAAAATAGGTGATGCAGTCTCCACATTATAGAGGAAGAACTGGGGTTCAGACAGGTGAAGTGACTCCCCCAAATTCACACAGCTCCTCAGGATTGGAGCTGGAGCTCAAAGTAAGACCTTCTAAGTGTGGAAGCTTACCCGCAGCGGATGGGACTCGGCCTTTTGGAGACACAGATCTGACTGGGATGGGGAAGGGAAAGGCTCATGGGGTTTCAGTTCCCAGCTCAAAGGGCCTTCAAAGTGGAGGAAGGGGCTGGAAGCCCAGGGGTGGCCCGGCCAGGGGAAGGGGTGGGGTTCCTGGCTGCACCTGGGTCACGTAGGCCAGCTGGCGCCTTGGCCTCAGTTTCCTGTTGCTGCTTAGTGTCTGGGAGCAGAGACGTGGGTTCTGGTCTCCAGCCAGCACTTTGCCCCCAGAGTAGCAACAGCAACAATAATGGACACTTACTGAGTACTTGCTGTGGACCAGGAGTTGTGCTGAGATTCTACACATATCACCTCGTGCACCTCGAGTCTATAAAATGGGGTGACTCTTGGAAGTACCCGCATTTTCCTCATTTTACAAAGGCACAGAGGGGTTAAGTAACAAGGGTGTATGATTTTTAAGTGAAACTGAAACTGCTGGGGTGTGAATGCAGGCACCCAACTAATGGAACTTGTGCTGCATCAAGCACTAGCTGACGACCTCAGGCAAGTCCTCCCAGGCCTCTGTTTCCCCATCTTGAGGGGACATCAACCCCCGCACTCCACTTCCAGCTCTGGGAAGAACTCTGCGCTTCTCCGTGTGGATGGACTGCTTAGACAGGTGGACCGGTCATGTGCTCAGTTTCCTCTACCTGTTTAGGCTTCTTTAGGCTGCCCTGTTCTCCCAGCCCCCATCACTGCTCCGTTCCAGTTTTAAAAAAGAGTGGCCGCAGCAAGGTCTCCCATGGCCGAGAGTTCATTAGCTGGCAAGGCCAGGCTGTAGGAGTGCTGAGGCCTGCTGGGAAGTAGCCTTGTAAATAATTAAAGCTCGGCCACAGCTCCCAGCTGGGGCTGCAAGCCTGCATCTGGTCTTCAGTGTGCCGCCTGGCCTAGCCCATTCTCACACCCCTGACACGAGGCCCAGCTTCATGTCCTTTATTGGATGGAGTCATCTGACAGATCGTGCTGCTCTCTCTGAACCTCGGTTTCCTCATCTGACCCACCAGCTCCACCATTCGGAGTCCTCCCGAAGCTCCCATGTACCCATAGGATAGGGTCAGCTTAGACTCCTCTGCATCTGGCCCTCTGTGACCAGCTTCCGCTGCCCCACTGCCCTCCAGCCCCTTCCTGCTCTTCCTATGAACCTGTGACACCAAACTTCTGTCACATTCTGGCCTTTCTACTGCTTCTTACTGCTAGGCCTTTGCACGTGCTATTCCATCTGTGTGTAACACTTTCTGCTCCCTCACCTGGCTACCTTCTTTTTGTCATCTTAGAATCATCAGTGCAGGTATCACCTCCTCCAGAAAGCCCTCCCTGCTCCCCTCTTTCCCCAGGGCTGAGATACAGGAGTCGAAAGAGGGGACTTAGAGATGTGTGTTGGAATAACTCAATGTGGCCTTGAATCAGATACTCCTGGTTTTCTATCCCAACTGTGACCTCTGGCTGAATGGCCTTGGAGGTGATAATAGTCTCTCCCTCCCAGTGATGAGGATTAAGTGAGATAATGTTCCTGGTAAGCAGTAAGTGTTCAGTGAATGTCAGTGGGTCTGTCCGTTCCTGGAGGAGGAGTTTCACTGAGGTCTCTAGATACCTGTCTGCCAGGACCCCCCTGGTTCTTCTGCCCGCATTTGCTTAGCCCGAGATCCAAAGGCTCCCGCAGCTGAGGCGTGCCTCAGCCAGAGGGTTCCCCAGCCACAGTGGAGGTGGTCCCAAGGCCATTTGGCCCTGAGATGGACCTGGGAGTGGAGGAAGGTACCCAAGGAGGGCCTGAGGGAAGAAATGAATCAAACAGGCCTGGTTGGTCTCAGTGAATGAGTGGCCGGGGCCCTGGGAGGGGCAGAGGAAGACTTCCCTCAGGCCGTTTGCTTGTCCCAAGGCTGGTTTCCAGACCTGTCTGTGCCTGGGATGGGGAGAAAGCCCTACAGCCCCCGTGGCTCTGCCCCACAGGGCCTAAGCTTCTCCCTTCCCTAGGGCCAGGTCTGT